TGTGTGTGTGTGTGTGTGTGTGTGTGTGTGTGTGTGTGTGTGTGTGTGTAATGTGAAATGCTTCATTTAACCTTCACCTTACTAGAAACACTGATCTTTCATCCTCTCACTCCAATTCCAATCCCAAAACACCCTCTCACCCTAATTCCAACCAATTTGATTACCTTGGGCACAGCAACTAGATTAGTTATGATGAAAATTATATAAACTAGCATCACTAAATTCAGGTGTGATTTATATTCGATATGTTCATGAAAGGAAACTGATCATTTGAAGACCAAATTGAAAGATGTCAAACTTCTTTATAAATGGGTCACTGGATGTAAATTGGTGTATACCTATAATCTCAACACCCCAGGGACTGAGACAGGAGGAGCACACATTGTAAGCTAGCCTGGGTTATATATCAAATTCACAGCCACGCTGGACTGTGAAATTGTCTTAAAAAAATAAAAACAAAAATAAGGCAAGAAAAAGAACTAAAAAGACTAAGATCCAAAGATTGCAGTTCAAAGCCAGACTGGGCAGGGAAAGTCCATGAGACTTTTATCTCCAATTAACCACCAAAAGCTAGAAGTAGAGGTGTGGCTCATGTAGAAGAGCACCAGCCTTAAGCAAAATAGCAAAAGGAGAGTGCCCTGGTTCTGAGTTCAAGATCTAGTACTGGCACCAAAAAGGAAAGAAAAAAAGATGGAAGAAACCTGGTGATGCTGTGACTCACACCTGTAATCCTAGCCACTGAGGAGGCTGAGGTCTGAGGATCATGGTTCAAAGCCAGCCTGAAATGCCAGCAAGAAAGTCCATAAGACTATTCTCTCCAATAAACCCTTAGAAAAAGCCATAAGTGGCACTGTGGCTCAAGTGATAGAATACTAGCCTTGAGCACAAAGAGGCTCAAGGACAGTGCCCAGGCACTGAGTTAGGGCCAGCAAAAAAAAAGGGGGGAGAGGAAAGAAGAATAGAAGGAGGAAGGAAGGAAGAAATAGAGAATGAGAGACAGAGAGAGAGGAGAGGGAAAGAAGGAAAGGAGGGAGGAAAGAAGGGAGGGAGAGAGGAAGCCACTCATTTATAACTTTAAAATCAGAAATTTAGCACTAGAGATATAGCTTAGTAGTTCCTAAAACATTTGCCTAGCATGCATGATACCCTGGGGTTGATACCCAGCACTGCCAAAAAGAAAAAAAAAACTTTAATAAAATAAATAAACAGAAGCTAAGATTTATAAAAACCCTATCTCATTCTTCAGCAGGCTTACCTGGAGTTTGAGCTATTGTTCCTTGAAGGGCCCTGTGGGAAAATGTAGAATACCCCACAAGCTTTGCCAGAAGATTTCTGCTGATAAGCAACTGTTCTAAACATTTCAATTGGCTAGAACTGGGGTAAAGAAAAATTTTATAAGCAGCTTCTCGAACCTGTATTTAAAAAATGAACACAAAAGAGTTATAAAAGAATGTCATGACACAGTGTCCCAAGAAACAGTAACACAGGCTAGCTCTCACACTACACTTGCAGACAAGCATCACTTCCTGGTCCAGTAATGGCTCACATACAGGGTGGAGAAAACCACCAGTCACACCACAAGAGCATCCCTGGTAGGAGCCCTAGGGGACTCGTGCTTCTGTGTATTAAGTCTCAAAGGTCAGCCGTGGTGCTGCGTATGAGACAGGGATAACTAAATCCTTTTTCACTATTCAAAGCGTTTTGTAGAATCAATGACTGACCCTCCCCCCACCTCTGGGCAAGTTTTTCCTTCAGGGATCAGTAATTCTAATAAGATTTGTATGTGTGTGTTGGGGCTTGAACTCAGGAACATTGTCTCTTAGCTTTTTCACTCAAGGATGATGTTCTACCACATGAGCCACAGTTCCATTTCTGGCTTTGTGGTAAGTAAGTGGAGGTAAGAGTCAGATTTGTCTGCCTAAGCTGGCTTTGAACCATGAACCTCAGATCTCAGCCTCCTGAGTACTTAAGAATACAAGTGTGAGCCACTGGAGTCTAGCAACTTTTTAAGAATATTATCATGCTGTCAAGGAAGCCTGGGTTTAAACATCAGCAACACACGCTAGACAACAGAGAGAACATAGGACACATACCAGGTCATCTGGGGCTTCTGCATGCAGGCCATCTACTACCACATGGCTTCCATCACTGACAAAGTTGTGCTGAATGTGCTCTGGTAAAAGATGTTTTTCTATCTTGTTGGGAAAGTTGGTTCCCATGAGGAATGTACTGCTCAAATCCAAGATTTTCACATTAAGGTCCACTGCTCTCCTACGCTGTATATGGGAGGGAAAAAGGTAAGTTACAGGCATCAGCAATATCAGAAATGAAGATTTAACAATTCACTTCAGAATCTCTACAGATAGGGCTGGGAAGGTGGCTCAGTGGTAGAGCACTTGC